TCACCCACTTCATCCTCCTCTACTGTGTTTCATTTTGGTTTGCTCTATTTTCTTTTCCTTTTTGCATATCTTTAGGCTCTAACAAAAACAGGCAGAATGATCCAGTGCTATGTGTTAGGAAACCAGGAATCAATTTCTGATCCTGTATAAAGATCACCTTGAAAATATCTTTAGCTTCTCTATGTTTTTTTTCTCCCTGTGAAAAGTATACATTCCCTCACAAATATCTTGCATGATACATTAAAATAACCAGACTGTGTGGCTTCTGTTTCATTTTAATATCTAGCTTCCGCCATTGTAGAGCATATTTGTAAATGTTTTATGATATAAACATGCATTTTGGTTACAAATTGACACTTTCAACTGCAGTAATAATACAGGATTTTGTTTTCAATAGCAGTCTGTCAATTTTACATGCTTAAGTGGCACATGTATGAAACCCACACATGAGGAATTTTATAGATTTGGGTTTTTTTAATTCTATCCATTTGATGTTGGTTTTGACCGTAATAATTGATTCTTGTTGAAATTAAATCTGCTTCATTAGTAATCTGTGGAATTTTTGAATTAATTGAGAATTAATTTTGGACTGCTCACCATTTTATAGTTGACCCATTGACCTACATTTTACACAGTCATTCAAAAATGTAAGGCATTAGCATAGAAATAGTAGGGAATAATGCTTTATTTCACTCTAGGATTTTATAAGAAGTTACAAAGCTAAACAGCAACATCATGACCTTAACCTCATAGGAGGATTTAAGCTATTTATGGCAAATCTGAGGAGAAGTCCAAATTTTAAAATGTACTCCATTAAGAACTGATAAGTGAAGTGACTTTTTATACATATGATTAGTTCTATGACAAAGTCTAACACCCTTTCCTCCTTCTAGCACAGCTGTCATGGTGAAATACTAAAATAACTCTTCTTCAGTTGAATTAGTACGTGGTGATTTTAGTCATAGGTAGAGGCATATGTGTTACTGCTTCTTTTATCTTCAAAGATTATTAACTGGAGTAATAGTGCAAGTTGCCAAGTCATTATGCATGTCATTAACAGTACTGAAAAAAAATGCAAGGAATCTTTCCTACTTCATCTAAATTTCCCTTCTTATTATGTACCTGTTAGGCACTCTGTTTCAGCAGTAATTTTTTGTCTGCAAGCTGGCTGTTTAAAACAGTGCTAAGATTCTCTGTGCATAAAGCTGTGCCATCTTTAAATGTGTGATTAAATCTTCATTTTTTATTAAAGCACTAGAGGAAGGTGCTATTTTAACTTGATGGAAAGGTATTTTCCTCTAGTGCCAAGGTCATGTTCTCACCTATTTCTTTTGTAGTTTTGTATTTTTCTGTAACACATTTTTAAATTTTTCATATTCTTGATATTTTTTTGTACTGACTGACTATTTCCACGTAGATGAGATATAGCTGTGGGTTAAGCAACACATTCCTTTCAGCCTTATCTTTTCTACTGCTTTTTATACTGCCAAGTATCTTTAGGTCATAACTAGTTCCAGTAGGCAGAATGTTTCAGATAAAATAGTGGGTCTGCAGGGCTGAGTTACAGTGTCTTATGGAATGAGGATGTAGTTTCATTTAATTGTCAGCTTAAATACAGAAATGCCTATCCTTTTTTTAGTTGAAGCTTCAGGAAAAATCATAGAATCATAGAATGGTTTGGGTTGAAAGGGACGTTAAAGATCATCTGGTTCCAACTTGCTGCCACAGGAACACCTTCCACTAGACCAGGTTGCTCAAAGCCCCATACAACCTGGCCTTGAACACTGCCAGGGATGGGGTAGCCACAGCTTCTCTGGGCAACCTGTGCCAGTGTTTCAGCATTCTCATAGTAAAGAACTTCAAACCTTAATTTCCCCTGTTTAAGTTTGAAGCCATTACCCCTTGTCCTCTCACTGCAGTCCCTGATAAAGAGTTCCAAATCATGTTAATTCTTGTTTTTCAGATCACAGTCTCTCTCTCCATATACCACTTGGCTTTCCAAGATCTCAGATGCTGATGCCCTGCTGGCACCACTGGGCAAAGTAGGTCTGGTTAGTGTGGACATGGGAGGTGGTGTGAGGCTTTGGGAGACTGGGCTGGACAGCCTTCAGCGGTCACTGCAGGACTGGAGGAACATGATTGGCCAGGAAGATGGGCATCCTGTGCAGGTATGAGTTCACAAAGCTGGAGTGAAAACATTTAATGAAGTGAGTTGCAAATGAGTTTTCAGCTGGGAGAGGGGTCGAGGGAGGGCTGTGTTGAACAACACTGTAAAGTAGAAATATGCCTGCAAGAAAAACTGAATAGACGTCTTCACTGAAAAAGAAAAGACACAGTAGCATAACTAAAAATCATAGTTGTGGCCCCTGTGATTAAGGTTACTGACAGTCTCTTTGTCTTGCAGTGTTTGTATTTTGCGAAATTCTAGTATATTTAAGTGCAAATCAATTCTTTATCTCCTGCTGATTTTGAACCACAACTTTCAAAATGTAGAATAATGAGATTAGTTTTTAAGGAAAGCAAATACTTTTCCAGAGTTCAAATACTTGGGGGAAAAGAAAAATAGTGTGTTTGTACTAGGAAAAGAAACTTGAACCCTAGATGGAAGGTGCCTGGAGTTCACAGTACTGCTTTTGGCTAATTTTGAAAATTCTCCCAGCTGAGCAGACCTACAAGGTTCTCCATGCAGCTGTGTTCTCACATGGGATTTTTAGGTAGATGTTGAAAATATACAGTATATATATGTATGCTCTGTGTGTATGTATGTATGTATACACAAGTGTCAATGTACTGGCTAATATGTATGATCCCCATTGCAACACGGAGGAAAATTCAGGACTGCTCATTTGCATCTTTAACTTCTGTTGGTGATTGGAGAAGGTGTCCTTTACTTCAAAGAGCTAAAGTGTGCCTTGGGAAGACTTCTCCATTTTTGACTAGGAGGATCCTGTCTCTGTCTGTCATTGCAATTATTTGTTTCATGAATTTAACCACTTCCACAGTACATTAGAATGGGAAAACAGGATGAGTCTTTTCTAAATTAGATCTCTCTGTAGTTTTTTTTTACAAGGTGTCTAGTTATTTCAAGCGTGAATGAGATGTATTAGGCCAAAACCAGCTGTTCTTTCACTTCCTTTTCCCACTCTGAGCTCCCTTTCTACAAGATGTTCTGCAGTTATAGAAGATTGTGCAAGAACTGACATGTTCTTGTTACTGGACCTCAGCAAATGCCTTTCATAAAAATCGTGAGAAAAGGAAACTGTTCCCCAGTAGCATGTTTATGTGGACGCTTGTTGCTTTACCAGTGCCATTTTCATTACCAGTGCAGTAGCACTAGCACCATCTTATGGTCAGATATGGTCGATTTACACCACCCAATTTCGGTTACTGATCAAGTTGACCAGTACAAGTGAAAAGATCCAGGAGGAACAGTTAGAGCTTTACTTGTTTTAATAACTGGTTTTTTCCTTGGTTTCTTTTTGGTTTGTTGGTGGTTTTGGGTTTTTTGATAACTTGCAATTATATTCAACACTATTACTGTACTGTCAATCTTAGTCAGCTGAATGTTAGAGAATACTGGCTTGGAAAGTGCACATCAACAGAAAGTTTTTTGTCATTTAACTAGTAATGTCAAGTAACTTTTTTAAAAAATCTAGGAAGTTTTGCTACAGTCACAAAGCTGTTTTCAAGGTCTGTTGTAGAATTTCTCTCTCCTGAGAGCCTGCCTCTCTAATTAGAAGGCACATTCCTGGGTAAAGTAATCTTAGAATATCTTTCTTCTTTCCTCTGTTAAACAGGGTATATAGCTCAAATCAGTGGTTTGTCAAAACTCAGAATGGCTGAAACAAAGCCTTCTATGTTATCTTCAGACTTGCATGATTAACACTAAGGTCTGTTTCTCTACTTTACACACTTCACTTTAAATGGAAAGATAATGAGGCCTAAGAATCTTTTTTTCAGAGACATTACAGAGCAATAAGAAATACATTAAGTATATTTTTATTTTGTTTTGTTTTGTTTTCATCTCCAATAAGATAATAGATGTGTAGGTGCTGTGTAAACGCTATACTTTGCTATTTAGAAATGTATGCTTTCACCTTTCCTACTTAACTCAATTTTTCAATGGACTTAGACATAAAAGCAGTACTTAATTAAGGCATTCCTTTCTGGAAATGAGAAGATCTTGTTAGCTTGAAAATATATTTATGTAGATACCCTGTCTAAGGTAAGCATCGCAAGAAGTATAGTATTGCCTTTTCTAGAGACAGTTACTTTGCTAAGAAAACTGCAGCTAAATATTCCCTGATATCTTTTTTACAGAATTCAAGACATTTTGCAGCCATATGTTGATCTGTTCATTCAAGTGTATGAAAATCACCTTCTTTTGTATAATGTTTCATGCTCATGCTAAGTATACTAAACTGTAATGAGGCATCTCTAATTCTTTGACTAAGCCCATCATTCCCAGTCATCTTATAGCAGCAGCTCACTGATATGTTCCACTTACCACTAGAATTAATTCCCCACCGACCCCCAATTTCCCTTCCCTAAAAGATGCTATTGATGCATCCCACAAAGGTACCATAGGCTTAGCAAAGCTTACTAGCCCTTCATGGTGATGTTCTTAGACCAACATGAGACTTGTCTAGGTGGTTTGGAACCACTGTTCTGCAAAAACAGAGAATCTCTCTGGAGCTACCTGGCTTTTGAGAAAAAGAATTAGGGGGCTTTCAATATAAATTCAAAGAACTGGAGACAAATATTGAACCAGGCTTCAGCTGAAACTGTTGGTGCAATCTTCTAGTACTGTATTTTGGATTTCACAAACATATTAAATCCTAGAAACATGCTGGATGTTCATAAGCAATGAAACAGAGGAAAACAAACAACTGTTCTATTTATAATCAGTAATTATGCTCCCTTGATATAATGTTGTGACAGTCTTCAAAATAGTCAACATTTGTTTTGTGTTGTTGAAATACTCATCAGAGTTCAAACTGCTGAAGTCTTGAGGCTACAAAAACAGTTTCTGGAAACCTGGCTTATGTTTGCATGAGTTTGCATTAATATAGACAGGTGAGAAATTTTCTTCATTTATTGAAGTTTTAAACTCAAAATATGACTACAATATTCTGAAATCATTAAATTGGAATGCCTAAGATAAAAATCTACACAAAGTACTGGATTTTCTAAAGCTATGAAATCTGCTTGAAATCCAGTCATTGCCAAGCTTTTATGTTGTTTGGTGTTTCTGAGAACAAGATCATTTCATTATCAAATATCTGAAAATAATTTGAAAGACAATTTATTTTAAAAATCTTGCCTTGAAAGTTTCCTGGCAGTAGGCAGGCACTGATACATTTGTGTTACTTTTTGCATCAAAGGATTATTGATATAAATCAAACAGAAAAATGCAGATTACGTTCTGATACAGTTGGGCTGTTGTTTTTCAGTAAGCATTGTTTACTGATAAGCCTCACTTAGATAAAGTACAATGTTTACATAAAAATAATTAAAGGTCCATTAATTTATGCAATTTTATTCACACAGTGCCCATCAGTAATAGTCCGCCTATGGGGGGCAAGCCTTTATTTGGACAATTCCTTAATATGAGACCAGGCCCTTCCAGAGACAAAGACTTGGAAATGTTCTCTCTCTTCCCCCAGTTTTCTTTTGTGACTTGACCTGATCTGTATATTTTCTAGTAAAAAGCCAGCTGAGGAGTTATGTCATTTTAGAGCATCACAAAACTGAGATGGTGGAATGAATCTAGATAAACTCATGAATAAGTAAAAATCTGTATTTGTTTCTCACCGGTGGCTTGAACAACAAATGTGCTAGGGACAGTTCTGCAGTAGTGTAGAAATTCATGCAGTACTGGCCCAGATGCATTGTGTTAGAAGTCCTAGAGGTGGACAACTCCACATGGTACATTTTAGATATGTTTTGGGGCTTGGCACGAAAAGGAGACATGAATGAAATGTATGTAAGAATAGGGAAGACTTTAGATGAAGGTTTTGGGAGATTTCATTCAAGATCTTATGCCTTGGGGAACTGACTGAGAGGATAGATTCCTGTCAAAAATGAAGGTTTTTAACTAAATTGTAGTTCCTTTCCTCAGTAGCTAGAGGCACCTTCTGTTGGTTTGTGCTGTGACTAGTTAACATTTCACTGATACAGTGTTTCCACAAAGCATGAATCATTGTAACGAACTAAATGGAGAAGTGAAAAAAAATTACTTCATCCATCCATAACCTTTTCCATCTAAACACCCAAAAACATGTTTAAAAGTAATTATTGCAACATCTGGACCCAGTTAGCATTATCGTTGCTTTCCAGAAGGGGGAACTGAGACATAGGAAAGGCAAGTCACTTGTTCGAGTTCATGCTGTGCATCTACAGCGGTGTCAGAGGTGGGATAAATACTGTATACACCCATAAGTATATATAATCATGCTTTGTAACTGTGTTGCCAAACTGAGTAGCTTGAATTCCCTGGAATGCAGCAATCGGTACAAAGATACTTAAATAGGGGAAAAAAAATGCATATAAATGCAGTGTAGCCACCTAAGAAAACATACGTTAAATCTAATTATCAAGGTTGAAAGTGCTGCGATGAGTATAGACATACTCAGCAAATTCATCAAAACTCAAGAAATGCAATTAAAGGATATTTTCCTCAGACTTAAATAGCTATCTTCACAGTCTCATAGCAGTGCTCAGTAACAGAATATGTAAGTTATTCTGTGGCCTGTGAAAAGCTAGAAGACATGAACATATGGTTCATGTCAGTAGTGTAAAAGAGCAACATATATGTGTTCGTTGCCAATGCTAAAAAAAGTAAGGGTGTTTTTTTTCGTATGTCTTGACTGCTCAAATCATCCATGATGCAAGGGCTTTGCTAAAATCAGCATTTTTATGAGTTCAGCAGCACTCAGTAGGAGTTCCCAACATTCAGACTTTCTTCTGCAGTCCATCAGTTAACCTTTAGATCTCATGAGGGCAAAGGCAAATGCTTACTCCCTTCTTTGAATAGTCTCATTTATTCCATTTGGATTCCACTCAACTTATCACACAGAACTCTACATGAATTATTCACCCCTTAAGTGAATTAATATTTTTGATTTTATTGAACACATTCTTCTTTTATTTTCTGAAACTGCAGTTT